CAGTCCCCGGGTTACGTACAAGATAGGGACTGTAGGTTTGTTCTTAAGTTGAATCTGTATGTAAGTCGGAACTGGTGTCCAGATTCAGCCGCTGTTGAAACTGATCAGTTTCAGCAGCGGCTGAATCTGGATGCCAGTTCCAACTTACATACAGATTCAACTTAAGAACAAACCTACAGTCCCTATCTTGTACGTAACCCAGGGACTGCCTGTACTGAAATTCTACCAAAGCTTTAATTAAAAATGAAATATAGCATTTTATTGAATTGAATAGGGAAAAAATAATATGAGCATGTTATTCCTTGTGTTGAGTATCTGAGGGGTAGCTGTGTTAGCCTGAATCTGCAAAAACGAGAAGTCCTGTCATGCATCTGATGAAGCGGGTCTTTGTCTATGAAAGCTTATGGTCCAATAAATCTGCTAGTCTATAAGGTGCCACAAGACTTCTCATTTTTCCTTGTGTCGGTTATTTTAGATTTAATCTAATTTGAGGATTTTTAAAAAATATTTTACACTATGTCAATTTTTTTTTAAAGTACGCCATGCATTTGTGCATTCACAATTTTTAAAATTAGGTTTCAGGGTTGGTACCTCCCTTTAAGGTGACTGGCAGCACTTTATTTCTCCAAGGCTATTGTTTTACACAGTTTGCAGACACGTCAACACTACATTGGTTCACGCTTGGAAGGTTATTTTCACTACCATAAGGACTAGAAATTACATTTTAAAATGAAAACTTAAGACTGTACAGCCAAATCCTATGGCAAGGAATGGATTCTACAATAAATTTTGAAAATAATTCTGTTCTCAAGTCACAAGGAAACTCTCTCAAAACACAGGGCTTTTTCTTCTCTGCAGGATAAATGAACAGCCCTAAACAGAGACCCTGAAAGTAAGAGCAAATGACTTCCAATATGTATTATTGGAGTTTGCAAATATATTTAGATAATGGATTTCAAAAATTAAAAATATTTTTGTATTTATTCATAAGGCGTTCACTTTACCTTTAAGAGCCCTACTCAAGACTGTGAACATTGTAAAGAAATGGTGGTCAGAAGTGGAGCTTTTCACAAATGACCTGGAACTCAGATCAGATTATTCCTGAAGTACTCAGGAGGTACATCCCAGAACATTAATTTGGAGATATTTGGCTAACCAGGACTGTGTATCTAACAGTGCATACAGCATTATTTTATTGTGAGATACGATTAAAAAGAAGCACGTGTATACTGTATGTATCCTAAGTTTCCTACAAAGTGATACTTTAATTTTATATCAAAAGAAACACTGCATAAGTTCATTGATATCTAATCTGGTACAACTTAAGTCATTTTTTTAAGTAATGTAAACTTGGTTTCACCACAGCCATAGTATACAAGTGACTACTTCACTTCTAATGGCCAGATTTTGCCATTCTTACCATACCAAGTAATAAGTTACTCCATGAGAAGTCTCACTGAAATCCATGGGGCTATTTCTGGAGAAAGGTACTACTAAACATGAGTAATGTGATTAGAATCTAGCCCTCAAAAGTTTAGTATCAAGTATTTACATGTTGATTACAAATAATTTCAAGATTTTTCTCCCCCCTATATCATAAAAATAAAAGCCCACCTAAATGTATAACAGGTATGTTTGTGTGGGAAGGGCCTAAGAGAGAATGTGTCCTTGAGGAGATTTGTTTGTTTTTTTAAACACACTCAAAAGCAAACTGTATGTGAAGAAAAATCTTGTTCGCAAAGCTTAAATTACATTTAGTTGTTTAGAAGAGCAGGAACTATTTATTTAATTTTTCAAAGATAGTTTTCCTCTAGGCTGGCGCGATATGTAATCTATGCATGTATACTGAAATACTACATTTAAAATGTAGGCAGTAATTAGAAATATTGTGGACATAATACCAATATGTCATATTAGCAGAAGTCTTAATGACTCTTCATCTTTTTACCTTTAATATATTTGTTATTTAAAGAAACACATTGTTATGTTAACTCAGATGAGTTAGGCTTTTGAAAGTTATAGTTTAGAACGTAAGACAATCCAAAGCTAGTGCCAACTGCTTTATCCAGCACTGAATCAGGTATTTTCAGACATGAACCAAAGAAGAAAAAAAAGTTTAAGCAGACCATTGGAAGATGACATTATAAGTTTTGAGCTAGTGTCCTGTACTTCTCCTTGAAGCTAAAAATGGTAGGGCTATGAGCATCTATATAGTGATGCCCTTTTAAAAACAATTCACCTTGTTACTAGGACAATTATTCAAGATCTATTCTGATAATAGCACTATAGGCAACAAGAATTTATTTATAATGTGCCTTCTCTAAACACATACATATTTACTTTTCATCAACTCAGTCTTAATTATTCCACATCATTGGGTAAAAGTGCTTTGAGTAGTAATGCCTAATTAATATAACAGGCATTAGAGAAAAAATATGAGAAATTTTCACATCTTTACTTAAAGTAATTATAATTTTGTTGCTTGTTCCTTTAAAATTATATTACATCTTGTTTACATAGTAAATACTGCAGTACTATAAATGTTATTGAAGGCAGTTTAAATTCCTGTTGCTATCTATGGATTTCATCCTGAGAGGTACTGAGAAACCATCTGCACCCCCTGAACGCAATGGAAGTTGAAGAGACTTTGCATCTCACAGGATTAGAGTCTATATTTGCATATCTTTCTTGCAATGTTCTGGTGAAATTTACTATCGCCTCTTACATTCATGGTCTAACCACACAGTACAAACTCCTTATTCCACCTAAAATTGAATAGACTTCTGTCCCAAATGCCTCCTTTCCTTCTCATTGCCAAAAACATTTAACATAAATCGTCTCCATTGCTTTCTTCTGCTAGTTCTCAGCAAGAAAGTTGATATTGTTCAGCATAGTGAAAGCACTGCTTTAAAAGCCGCCTGCTCATTAAATTATTCTGCTGGATGTGTGTTCTCATTAAAAATGTATAAAGATCAGATAATTGCAGTAAGCATTATTAACCTTGCTTTTCCTGTTTTAGCTTCTACTTTTAAACCTAAAACAAAGACATGGAAATGGCAGGGAAAAATATTCAACTAAATGGCAATATCTAAAACTCTTTAGAAGCTTGCCTTAAAGAACACAAGAAATCAGTGTATTGAAAAATACCTACAGTCTTTTATACAAGCCACAGTGGAATGAAGTATCAGACTCACTGTAAAGCTGTTTCTAATCTTACAAATAGACAATCGTGGTTTTAGTTCAGATCTTATAATGGCAGCAATTGCTTAGAACAGACATTCCAATTCCATCTGAATCTTCAAACCTATCTATTGTAAACTTTATTGATTTTTATGTTTACCAATTGCCTTTATTAAACCTAGCAACCATTATCAGATGAAAGCACAGCTAAGAATCCAATTAGACCAACAGTATTTTTTTAAACATACCCACCTATTTCCTTTTTAAACTGTAATTTTAAAATGAAATATACAAATATTTGTACTATTTCTCAACAGAACAATTTACATTTTAAAATGAAATTCACGTACGCAAGATCACATCAAATTCACATTTCACCTCCAAGGACTATATATGCCTGGAGAAATCTTGTTTCCTTGACTCCACCAAGCAACACATATGGTATGCAGCATACTGCAGCAAACTCTTTAAACATTCAATAAAAGACAAAGATCCTCTTACCTTGTTTAGCTCTGTCTATTCGACACATTTACAATGTGAACAGAAACGTATATAATCAAATGACCACATCTTTTCCATTGCATCACTATGAGGAGTATTTTTCATGTACAATAATTATCAACCTATTTTTTTGGGACACTGAAAGCCTTATGCCTTATCTGAGGATTTTCTCTCAGATGATGAAGCAAAGACACAGCCTGAACTCTGTTGCTGAAAGACTGCAGCCCTTCCTTCCAACAAATCCCTCCCAGCATATGGTACCCAATCACACACAAGTTCGTCAGTCCTACTGGTCTTAAACTGGTTGTAATAGGATGATTGACAAGGCAACACAGCACTTCTAAAGTGTAAAAACAATGCATCCATACTGATGAAGAAGAAATTTCCCTCTCACAGGAAAACAATGTTATCAGGGAGGTAAAGTCACATCTATATGAAACAAAACCACCTCCACCATTCCAGCATTTAATGTTTCCTATGTATGGTTTTAAAAAGCCTGTGTTAATGCAAAAATGTATTATAGAAAATAAACAGAATTGCAGAAGTGAAGCAATGCTTCATCTGTTTTGTTATAGTGCATGAATAAATCTTGGTATTTCAAATAATTTAGCTCAAGTGTTGTTTTCTAAATACAGCCAAAAAGCATCTATGACCAAACATAAATACAGTTACATCTCTATATGGCACAATATTGCTGTTTAGTCTCTCTAGTTAATTGTGATATATGTGGTATTTTTCACAAGATTCAGACTTGTGTATAGTTGTGGAACAGAATAAAAATGTAATCAGTAACATATTACCATTTTAATATACTTGGTAGGCATAGAGTCAAGGTGAGTGGTACCAAAACAGTGTTCAGTTTGATTAGCATTCAAGTGCTGTCCATCAACAGTAAGGTTCAAGCACGTCATTTATGAATACTGTTACAAGATGACAATAGTCTTAAGTCAAAATTTTAACACTTTGATTGCTGGAACTTTCAACATGTAATAGTAGAGGTGCTATACATGTACCAGCTTCCTCACACTGAAACATAAATGCTCCTGAAGTACCATTATGTTCTACTGCAACAGAAAACAGCAGCAGAAGACAACAAATGAAGGGCTAGCATTTTAAAATAAGGGAATGTGAACTTTCAATTCAAAGCTAACCATGTAAAAATGTAAGAAATCTACAGTGGTGCTGCACTATGTGTGTATCCTCTCTCAAAAAAAATACATTGCCAAATATATTTAAAACTGTATAAAAAGATTAAACATAAGAATAGACAAGTCAAAAACAAAGCTCTCATTCATTTAGGAGTTGTAACCCTGAGCCTCTTTATTATTGACTGTGTGGCATATCTGAAATGAAGCATTTCCAAAAATCATTTCTTTCTATCCCTTCACTTAAAACTTTCTTCAGGCCTCCTCCCTTCTCCCCTTAATTACTGCAATCACCTTCCCTCTGGCCTCCATAAAATGCAAATTGCCCCACCTCTTTCCCACACCTGCTGCTCCTCTTTGCCCACCAAACTCACTACAGCTCCTCTCTTTCTTCCCTTTGTATCTCTACACTGGCTTCCTCTCCACCAGTGCATGAAATTCAAGCTTATCCCAGTCTTATGACATTTCTCTTCCCCTTTCCTACCTGTCCACCCTGGTCTCATTTCTGAAACAGTCACTATATTTGTCAATGATGAAACCATTGAAGTCCTACTTACTTAGTTTCCCCACATGCATCTCCCCATGTTTTGTTTTGTGTTTTTCCACAATATCCCCTGTAACTTGCACATCCTTCACAGGCCATATACTTTCTCCACATCCAGGTACCTGCTTGAGACCCATCTCTGCAAAAATTTAACCAGTTGACTCCAACATGTTTGTGGAGTTACTAGAGATAACAGCACTGCCTATTACATCAAACAGCTGTGAAACCCACCACAAAGTGCTGCTGCTATCAGTTCTTGTAAACTCCAATAGCAGAGGTCAGAGAATCACCAAAAGGCTCCAACCCTGGTGATGACAGGTAGATGGCAATGAAGCCACATGATTAAATTTATTTTTTGTTTGCTTTTTAAAAACTTAGTAATTAACACAAACATACAAACCAGGAATGTTAAAACATTTATTTTTGTAAACATGTAACTACTGTATTTTTCAGTGGTTACATGTTTACATGCAGGAGGGAGACCAGTGCTTGCTGGGAGCCAGCTTTTAAGCCTGCCCCCCCCTTACTGCCTCTGATAGAGAGGCAGCAACGTGGGGGGGTGGGGAGGCAGCTCTGCAGGAGCCAGTACATACATACAGAGAGCCAGCTGGAAAGCCAGCTTCTCCCTACCCTCCTGCACCCCTCGCGCTGCTCCCTATCAGAGGCAGCAGTGCCAGGGCGAGGAGGAAGTACCGTATTTTCCGGCGTATAGGGCGACTGGGCGTATAAGACGACCCCCTATCTTTTTAATTAAAAGATAGGGTTTCAACTTATACCCCAGCCTCCCTCCGCCTCCTTTGCTCCCGGTGTCCCTGGTCTGCTGGAGATGGTCCCCAGCAGACCAGAGGCACCGGGAGCAAAGCCGCAGCAGCTTTGCAAAGGC